AATGAAAAAGGCTCACTGGCCAAATGGAAGCATATAACATTAAATGCCAGGTGGAAAAAGAATAGGGTTTGTTAATATTATTTTTTAATTTAATTAATTTTTTAACCTCCTTTTCAGAAAAAGACTGCGAGAAATTTCCCTTCCTTTTCATCATGGCTACTGACAGCCGCAAGAGCCATAAAAAGTTCTTAAGGGAGGATATTGGTATTTTTCATAACTAGTATCATGGAGTGATGAAACCAGAGCCAGGGATTCATTTCAGATGTAGAAATAAGCTGGTTTTTTTTTTTTTTTTTTCGTAAAATAGGCCAAAACCATTAGAAAAGCTTGTGCCTCAGTGTTCATAGAACTGAGCTTTTGGTGTCTTCCATGCAGCAAGAGGGTATAACACCCTCTGAAATACCCATATTTCTTTGCATGATAACCCAAACACCATGTAGTACCAGTTCCCCTTCCAAATTCCTGTATAAAATTAAAAGGTGAGGAAGAAGCCAGATGTGGGAGCCTACTGCCTGTCCCAACATGTGGACTCATTGCACTGAAGGAAACATCAGCTCTAAACCTGGCTCACTGGGTGTGAGCAATGCAAGGCTTAACTGCTTTAAACAGACAGGATTGTTTGATACAAGCATTGAGACCAGAATTAGACTGCCATAATTGGGATTTAAAATAATTGTTTTCCTACAAAAGGATGGCTAGTCTCCTGTGCTGCTTGCCCAGAGGTGTGACTCCTAACTCAAGTAACTCTGTGCTGGGGAGGTTCCTTGAGGGGAGAGAGAAATCATAATTTAAGTTGTGGTGACTGCCACAGCCACTTCTATAACCCCGGGGCTGCCATTGTCTGAACAGCTGCTGTGCCCTGGTTCTGCAGAATGAGACTGATTTCTGGGTCTGCACTTGTTCCACTGTCCTTTGAAACCCTTAGCCACAGGGTGAACTTTCTTAGAGGGTCAGGATGCTGTTCATCTTCATAGGGCTCAGTAAAATCAAAATTGGGAGATCAGGTAATTGCTCTTTGCTTTCCATGCTGAGGCTGTTACGGGCCCCAGTATTAAAATTTTTATTAGCAATTTTGAGTACACAGTGAAATCTAAAATACTTACAGAGTATGTTGGTTTCTTCTTCATTATACTGATACAGATAGAGCAATATTCTCATAGCATACAGAATACAGCTAGAATGCCTTATGGAAACTTTTGCACAAAGCCTCAAGACATTAATTGCCTGACTCTTGCTGGTTACTTTAATGCATTTTTAATAGACACTGTATGTGGAATCCTTCTAGATCTTAAAGAGAGATATATAAAATAAAATTTCTAAAACATGCCTTTCGTTTGAACATTGCCTATCACTTGCTGTCATAATTTTTGAATGCTGTCATTTGAACCAAATAATCAAATTTTCATGCAGAGGTGAGTAATCTTCCAGAGCTCTACTTATTATGGTTCCAAATACTGTCAGAATTTTGACTAATATATCCATCTAAGTGAATTCTAGATTTGTATTTTACATAATGTACTCAAATGATTCTTTCTTTATTTGTTCTAGCTCACCATAAATTTTAATATGGAAATCTTACGGACTTTCCAAGAACACTGCTAAGAGTAAATTTAAAGGTGCTATGAGAAATATTGTTCTTGTGAAGAATTTTATTTTAAACTGATAATTATGGCAATTTTTGTTCATGTCCATTAAAGATCTGTATTGAAAAATAGTTGAGTTTCTGGTGAAGCCGTAAAAAACAGCATATTAAGCAGGTGCATTTACTGATGTCTAAAATATAGATTTGTTCATTAAGTTTCCACCACATTATAGGAAATATGTAGAGAGTTGTTTGAACTTATTTTTACTAATTTTAGTAAGCCCATGTATTGCAAGTGCTTCAAAATCCACCACAGGTTGAACAAGGCCTCGTATTTGTAGACTAAATGCATGCACAGACTAATAGCCCCTCCATAGTTAGAATTCTCCCTTTCCTGGTTTCTGCGGCTGTTGCTAACAGCTCCATTGGACGTAATCCTGGAGCAGACAGTAGCATTCACTGGAATTTACTTTGTTGTAATGAAAGCTGACTATGATCCTCTGTACCTAAGAAGTTTTCACAGATATATTGGGCAGACGTGCTTACGTGAAGGCTGAAATGAGGAATGAAAATTAGTGGGGTGACCTGGAGTAAAAGGAAGGCAGAACTAGAGGGAACTACGAGAGGCGTGGGGGAACGGAATAATTTAAATTATTTTGGTAGAGGTTACAAGGGAGAGAAATATGTATCAGGAAGAATAAGACTGAAGGGAATCCTGGCCTAAAAAAAGTAACTAATGTGTTGAAAAGCCATTTCAAATTAAGTGTAACTTTGTAACTGTAGTGTACTATTTGTTTTATTGGATTTGTTTATCACCCTATTGGGGAATGAAAGTATGTGGTCATACACAAAACAAAAATTATCAGGTGCTGAGTTATCAGGTGTTCAGCATAACGTCCTTGGTACCCAAACCTAAAAAGAAATGCTGTAGAGCATATGTCACTTCATTTTCCAATTTTTTTTCTTGGGTGAATGAAAAGCATTTTTGGCTTTTATTGTACTAAATGTTATGTTTGCCTTATGCATTTTATCTTCAAAATACCTTGACTTCTCAATCTTGATGTAATTTGTTAAATAGGTTGCTTGCAACAGGCTAATTAAAAGCCCCTAGCAATTTTGCTTTTTATTATTTTAATTTTTATGTAATACTGTGGAAAATAACAGTTAGACTTAAGACTAAATCCACAACTGGAAGATAAAAAACTAACCAGAAAATGGTTATGTTCTGAACCTGATGAGTGTAATCCAGTATGGTAATAAACTTCTTACTGCTATGGGACAGCACTGAAAACATAATACTAACATTTTTATTTTTCAGTTTCTAAGATAAGTTTTCCCCTTACAACATGTGGTTTCCTGGTTTATCATAGCTAGAATTAATTGGGGTTTTTTTTTGTTTGTTTGTTTTGTTTTTTCTACTTTAGAAAAGTTTACAAAAACTGAAGGATGATTTGGGGTTTTGTTAAACCTATACAAAAATAGTAAAATGCGGGGACTTGATGGATACAGATTGTTTGTTATAGTTGCCTTCCCTCAAGTTTGCTTTCTCGTTCTCACTGATGTACATGAAAAGCTGTTTACGTTACAGATTACAACATTAATAGTTTTAATTTTTACTAGTGAGATTTTAAAAAGTTGCTATCTCAGCCTCTGAAAAACATGCAACTTGACACGCTTTTTATTTCCACGTTGATTAGTATAATTAGACAGGATGGCCTGTGGCATATTAGTACTTTGTGGTAATAACATCTTTCCATCTTAAATTTGTTCACTGGCCCTAAGCACTATGACTGCACTTCAGGTAACCTAATTACTTTA